TTGTTTTAAACATATTGCTGTCTTTCTGTAGAGCTTATCTGTCTTCCTCTCCTGTTGTTACAATTACTCTTTCTCAAACAAATAGAAAGTTTGTGTTTCTTCTCACGGAATTTCTTTTGTTTCAAAAGACTATTCAAATCACTCAAGAACATCATAATTTTTGATTCTGTTTCTAAAAGCAATTGTGGGCATCTTTCTCAAAGCCTCAACACCAAAAGCTATTATGATCTTTAGGTTAAAAAAATACTTTCTAATTCTGTTACACAAGAAGTTATTAATAACAAATATTTTGAAGTACTATTCTTAAGACAGTGCTCTGGAAGGCTGCACTTGTTCACTTATATTCCCTTCATCCATTTTTACCAAGAACAATTGATAGTCTATGAACAGAGTTTTGCAGTAGGGTATACTGGAGTCTTACAGTATTTTTGTCTAGATCATACTTCCTCAGCTTGTTGATCAAATTGTTATGAGACGCTATATAGAATGCCATGGTAAAGTCCAGATATGGCACTCAGTTCTCTTTAATCCACAAAATCTACTGCTTCACGGAATAAAATTATTTTGATTTGATGATACTTATTCTTAACAAATTGACTTTGGAATACTACCTCTTTATTACTATCTCAATCCTCTTCTAGTATGTACTTAAGTCATACAGACTATGTATAAAACTCTGTGCAATCCTTTACCATCCTTTTGAAGGGGCTTTTTTCCCTTTTTGAGGCTGCTGGAGGCACAAATTCTCAAGATTATTATTAACAACTCTGAGATTGGTTTAGCCAGAGTTCCAGGGGGAATTTGTCTGATCCCATTTTCATTAAAACATTCAGTTTCTGTGAAAGTGGTAAATAGGATCATATTGAATGAAAAAAAAAAAAAAAAAGAGAGATGTTACCATTTATACATTGTAACTGCATTCTCTTAAGATCTTTTGTCAGTAGTGTGTTCCTCAGGATCTGTCATCACCAGTTTCTTAGCTTTTCTAACAGACAAACATCAGTATGAACACAATATGGATGCTCTGGTTCTTTGTTCCTTCTCCAGCATCTGCCTTATTTACAGGATAATTACTCAGATGTGAAGTCTAGTAATCCACATGTAGCATGTATGCATTCCTTAAAACCTCTCTTTCTGAAGACTTTTCCAGTAAAATCTCTGGAATACTGCATCCAGGTTTCTACAACAATTTGATACCCACTTAAATAATGTTCCTGGAGTCTGAAGGATCAGTGCTATGGATCTGAAACGGTGTAGCACTTGAATGTTCCTGAAGTTTCTCTCCAGTGTGCTATGAGCTGAGTATTAGACATTCGTCTTCATTAAAGGAATATGGAGATACTGTTTTGAGTGACCATTTGGAAGTTGTTGTGCAATTGGGAAGCTAGTAATTCTTTAAAAATCTGTGAAATATGTGAATCCTAAGTTTGTGGTAACCTTAATAGATTTTTAGCCATGTGGATTACAACAAAGAATGTGATCGGTGATACAACTTTAGTGCATCAGCTTTGAAAGACAAGTGGTCATTTCTCTGAAGAGGCACAGAGGTGATCAAAGAAAGTATCATGAATGCTTAAATAAGATGCAGGTACTGTGGTGTGATGAGGAAGTGTGCAGACAAAAAACATAAGATGGAGATGTCAGTGATGTGTGTGGTCTCCTAGACAGAAGCTTATTTGTGTGCTACGCAAGTTACTGATGCACAATGAGCAAGTGAAGCCATTCCAGGGGTAAACAAACAAGAAGTAGTTTAGAAACGTTACATTTTTAGGAAGGCTAAGTCACTGTCAATGCAATCCATTTTATAGTTGCTTGCCTTATAGAGGATTTGATAAGAAATCTGTCAAGAGTCACAGAGAAAAGGTGTTTACAAATTGCAAGAGTAGTTGATAAAAATTCTTCCATACTTGGTGCCATCTACCACTCAGAAACAGTGGGAAAACTAATAAATATGGAGAACCAGTTCCAGGATTGTCATGGATGGTCAGGATGACTGCTACTGAAAGACTACGGAAGTATTGTTGATGGGTGTATTTGTTCTCTGTAGAGGCCTTATTTCCTATTGATGTTACCTGCTTCTCAGCTACGTTTGGTGTTATCTGATTGACCTTCCGTATTTGGTGTTCAGTAATAATACAATGACCTTCACAAATCAGTGGAGAATCTCTTTTTATCTCACAAGTTTTACATTCCTGC